AGGGACCTCCGTGAAAATGTCCATCCTACCAAAATCCATTTATAGATTCAATGCAATGCCAATCAAAATCCCCATGACATTCTTCACAGAATTAGAAAAAAACCATCCTAAGATTCGTATGGATGCATAAAAGACCCCGGATAGCCAAAACAGCCCTGAGCACAAAGAGCAATGCTAAGGGATTACTATACCAGATTTTAAACTGTATTACAGAGATATAGTCATAAAAACAGCATGGTACTGACACAAAAATAGACCAATATATCAGCATCAGCTACCTGATATTTGACAAAGGGGCCAAGAATACTCACTGGAGGAAAGATATCATTTTCAGCAAATGGTGCTGGCAAAATTGGATCTCCACCTGGAGAAGAATGAAACTAGATCCTTATCTTTCACTTTGCACAAAAGTCAACTCCAAGTGGATCAAAGACCTCAATGTGAAACCTGAAACTCTCAAACTGTTAGAAGAAAATATTGGCAGTAACTTACAACATATAGTGATAGGAAAGGATTTTCTAAATCAGATATCAGTTGCTCAGGAATTAAGGTCAACAATCAACAAGTGGGACCTCATTAAACTAAAAAGCTTCTGTTTGGTAAAAGAAACACTAAAAAATGTGAAGAGAAAACCCACAGAGCAGGAAAAAAATCTTCATCAGGACACATCTGACAGAGATTTAACATCCAGGATATATGAAGAACTCAAAAAACAATCAAGAAAACAAATGACCCAGTTAAAAGATGGACTAAACATCTAAACAGAGAGTTCTCAAAGGAAGAAGATGGCTAAGAAACATCTCAAAAAGTGTTCAACACTGTTAGTAATTAGGGAAATGCAAATTAAAACCACCTTAAGATTTCATCTTACCCAAGTCAGACTGGCTAGGATCAAGAGAACAAATGATACCAAATGCTGGTGAGGATGTGGAGAAAGGGGAATGCTCATTCACTGCTGGTGGATTGCAAACTCATGCAGTCTCTATGGAAAACAGTGTAGAGAACTCTTAAAAACCTAAAAATGCATGTGACCCAGTTATACCACTCCTTTTCATGTACCCAAAGGACTTATCCTATTGCAGAGACACTTGTACAACCATGTTTTTTGCTGCTCTTTTCACAATAGCTAAGAAATGGACACAACTTAAGTGTCCCTCAACTGACGAGTGGTTAACAAAAATGTGGTATATTTACACAGTGGAGTTCTATTCAGCAGTAAAGAAAGATGAAATAATGAAATTTGCAGGTAAATGGATAGATCTAGAAACTGTTATACTAAGTGAAGTTAACACAGACGGAGAAAAACAAAAGATGTATGTTCTCCCTCATATGTGGATCCTAGCACCAAATCCTTATATGTGAGTATAAATCCTGATGTAACTGCAGTAACCTGGGAAATGGAAGAGAACCAGGGAGGTAAAGGAGGGAAAAGAAAGAAGGGAAAGAAGGAACCTGAGAGAGAACAGTAGGAGACAGGTATTATTAAGGGAGAAATGTGTAAAATGGGGGGCACTTAAATGGGGGGTGGAAGGAGGGCTGTACAAGGAATTATGGGGATAAAGGAGAAGAAGGCACTCAAGAGAAGACCATAGCAGGTGGGAATTATCAAGGGAGAAACGAGGAAAATGGAAGATAGGACAGGGTGAGACTCCATCTTTATAAGGCATTTTGCCGTGGTAAGCACATGATTCTTTCTACAGGGTCTCAAAATATCTGCCTGAATTGTGCAAGTTGCTCAGATGTCTGTTTGGTGTGTGGTCTTGTTCCTCATAAGTCTGTCGTTGTGCATTCTTCTGACCTCTCCTTAGTACCTCATTGCAAATAAGTGCCATGTTTGTGAACTCATGATCTCTGCCCAAGCAAAAATCACCTGTCTGTTTACATAATGTGACACTGCATTAAGTAAGAGTTAGAGAGATGGCTCGGTGGTTAAGAGCACTGGCTTCTCTTGCAGAGGACCTGGGTTCCCAGCACCCACATGGTGGCTAAGACCCACCCTTAACTCCAGTTCCAGGGGATCCAGTGCCCTCTTCTGACCTCTGCAGGCATTGCACACAAGTGGTGCACTTACATACAGTGAACACTCCTTCTCATAAAATAAAAATTAATTAATTTAAAAAATAACAAAAGCCCATGACATTTTAGATAATTTTCTCAGAAATAACACTAAGCATGATTTTTGTCCCCAGTGCATCTTCATTTTGGCACGCTGGTAGCAGGACATGCTTACCAGGGAATCTGTGAATAGACTAGGATGACAGTAATAAACAGCTGAAAATAATCCGTGAGGCGCTTGTAAATTGCCCCTCGTGAGCTGCAGTGGTTGTGAAAGATAATTTGTGGTTCTTGCAGAATACCCTGCAAATTGGGGCTTTCATCTGCAGTCCATTCTGCAGTTAAAACATTTCATTTCTCGTATTAACAAATGATAACTCTGCATTTGTTCATCTAAACAATTTGATTTCTATTTCTCTGTGCTGAGAAGCTGTTGACGTTTCAGGGTAAGTAATTATTTTCATTGCCAACTGCTGTTTGTGGTGACTGCAGGCAAAAGATAGAAATCTGAGTGTACGTATGTATCATTTAAATCCTTTTGCTTAAAGACTACCCATTAAGCTGGAAGCATTTTTGCCTGAGTTATCATCTGTACTTAGACATCTAATGGGATCTGGGTGTTGACAAGCGAGGATTCTAGCCACATTCAAGAGTTTTTCAAAGCTGATGGAAGCCTAATGGGGAGGGGACAAGGCTGACCCGAAGAGTCACAAAATCTTGGAAGGGGAACAGTGCACTTGCATTCTTAAATCACTGCAGTTAGAAGAGGCTGTGTTACTGGCCTTGGGAATTCCCAGCACATGAAGGTACCCATGGGTGGGTGTCAGAATTACACATGCAATGCTCATGAGAGCACTTTGCTACATTGTGGCTTGGAAAACACTTGGTAAAATTGAGGTGTGGAGTAAAGGGCTCCTCTTAATTTCATCTCCTGTCTCATTCTTGCCCCCCAAAGTCACAGTTAGGATACCTTGAAATAGTTACTATATCCTTGGAGTAGGAAGCTCAGTCATATTGGTGAAATGACCCACTAACAGTAAGTGTCGTGGCTGGTGACAGAGCCATGCAGCCCCAAGCCTTCCCTGAGATCTCTTCTTGTGCTATTGTTTTATAAATTACACTTATTAATACATACCAACTGCACATAGTAATGGGCTTCACGGTGACTTTCCATGCAGAGATTATGTTTTTTAATCTGCTATTGGATGTACTCAGTTTTAATATTCAGGAAAAAGTTTGCTATCCACATTGAAACTTTTCTCCCCAAGAAAATTACCTAGTAAAACTGGTGCTCCAGAAAGACAGTTCTCTTTAGCCCTCGGTTGTACAGGGTTCACACTGTTGTACATCTGTCCATCCCATAATGCACACATTCTATTCACAATCCAGCCAGCGAGTGGACTACTGAGGATCCAACCCAATTTTTACATGGCCTTAAGGGGTGAATATAGAGCCAGTACCCTGATGGCAAATGTGCTTTATCCTTTGAACCAACTCCAATTGATTAGTTCTGGTTGCCTACAGTGCTGTCTTAAGAAACCATCTGTAGTGTATTTGGGGCTCAGCTGGGAAGAGTGCTGGGATTGATTAGCAATGTCTATCATGGGCTCTGGAGGAACATCTTGCCCTATATTTGTCATTTTCTGATTTTAACATGTCTTTAACTCCTCTGTGTTCTCTTCCTGTGCAAAATGGTTATAATCCTAAAAAGTGCCTCCAAGTATAAACAGGAAGAGCAGGTATATTCCACTTTAAGAAAACTTAGCATAGAGAATGCAAATTGGCCAAATGTATAAATCTGGAGCCAATTATTTCCATTACAGAAAAGATTCCATGAAAGGTTCCTTTAAATAGCAAGCTCCCCTACTGCATTAAAATGATGATTCAATTTACAAAAATTCACTTTGCACGCAACTCTCCAAGACCTCGTCTGTAGACTTAGCAAGCCACACCTGATGTTTTTAAAGCCTTGTTTCAGCACTGATCAAGGTGGCTGCCACCAAGTACCTCCAGTCCCCCAGTAACTCCACTTCCCTCAGCCTTCCTCTCTTCCTATCCCAGGGTGTTGAACACACAATCTGGGTGGTGATCAACAGCTACTGGCTCCCACCCGACAGGGCTGCATTTCATTAGTGGGTTAGCTGATTGCTCTGAGGGTGTTTATGTGTGGGTGTGGCTGAACAAGTCCATGCCCTCTGTGCACTGTGGATGCAGATGGGAATACATAAGCCATTACCTCCCTTTCAGCCTAACCTAAATTCATTCCTGCTGTGAGAGTTCTAGGGGAAGGTTCCAGTGACTTGGTGGATATGGCTGGCCTTTTGGTAGTATCTGCCCTGAATTCTGGTTCACAGCCTCTTTTGCATCAAAAACTTACCCAGGCTCCAAACCTGAGTCCTACTCTCCAGATACGGAACCCTTGTCTTCTGCAGCTTAGAAAGCCCCAAATAGGTTTCTGATTTAGAAAATTAAATAGAATCTGATTCTTGTGGCAAGCTAAGAAATTCTCAACCAACAGGCACTCCCATTAAATATGTAACACACACATCTAAAAGTACCACCGATCTAGCATGCGCTTGAATTACAGAGACATCCAGTACCCTTTGGGTAAGACCACCAGCCTCTTCCCAGGGACTCAAACTTGGACTGTTTTTCAGTTGTCCCCCAAGCTCCTTAGAATGCCTATTGGCACACATGTTGGGATTCCTGTTGCTCTGCAAAAGCAGCTTAATCCACGGAAGAGTGCCTGAAAGAGGTGGAATCTGCCCTCTCTGTACATGGCCTCCCCCACATGGGTCCAGGGTCAGAACTTTTCAGTCACAGGATACAAGTATCATCTCTATTTCATCTGTGGTGTTTAAAACATTGCAACATAAATTTATTCCCATGAATATTTTTTTTACAGACACATTTTTTTTTCCTTTCTCCTTTTGGGGAAACAACATGGGACAGGAGCAGTGAACCTAGCAGGCGGTCTCTGACATGCTTTCTGCCTCAGTGATCAGTCCTCTGGCATGGGAGCTCTCAAGCTGGTGATCTATCCATCAGCTCTTTGCCTCCTGCCATCTTCTCAGACTCACCAGTTGACACCAAGGGTCTCCCTTGGTACCGGGCAGTGATAGCTGCATAGGCGCAGCCATAGATAGCAGCTGCCAACATCATGAGACACACAATCCCACATACCACCCCCGTAATGACCACAGTAGCCACGGCGCGGCGCAGATTGACAGGCCTTGGCTTGGGTTTGACTTCACATTCCGAGGGATTTCGTGACCCTGAGTTATTCTCGGGAGACTTCAGGGCCTCTTCACTGGGAGAACCAGGCTGCTCATTCAGTGAGGGAGGCAGAGGACAGGGCTGGTACAGCTCATGGGGGATAGAGAGGAGATCCTTTCCATTCCAAGGCTCAGGCACCCCACAGACAACACCATCCGTTACTCCCCCTGCAAAAAGCAAAAGCAAAGGATGGTGATAGAGCTTTGATAGAACTGAGTTCCAAAGTCTTCAGCCTACAATGACTTGGGCAGGTGGAATTTATCAAATGTCTTGTTTTGTCTTTTCTGGAGTCAAAGAATTAAGCAACCATGTTTATGATTTCAGGATTTCTAAATTGGCTAAATGCTAAAAAAAAAAAAAGCCACATAATAAATGGGCAGTTACTTATGACCAAAAATTCATTAGAAACCAAGTTACCATGACATTATGAAGGAAAGAGGACAGTGTAGCACATGCTGACGAGGAGGGGCCTGTGGGGCCGAACGTCGAGGGCACCGTGGCCTCCAGGATTCTTGCTGTCCATTCCCCTGGTGAACGCCACCACACAAGAAATTTTTACTGCCAGATTCTCATCGAAAATCAAAGACAGCATCAAACAAATGTTCATTGTTGTGCTGCTGTGTCTTAATTACAAAGACCCTGACCAGCGCTCATCAGTGAGGACAAAGGGAGAAGGGGAAATGGTATTTTCAGAGTTTGCAGAGCTGAGGACTTGACAGTACCATTTGCTTAGTTCCTGGGGTTTAGGTATAAGTCACCAATCTCCTTGGGCCTCAAAACATTTACTACTCTGAGTACCAAGCATTCCCAAGGGTTTCCAAATGTGGTTTCCATTGAGTGTAAGGTGACTATTTATCTGGGGTGTGTAGGCCTCGGGGGCTTTGGTGGTCTGTTATCTTCTAGAAAGTGTCCTGGATGCAGGCTCTTCATCCCGGCCTGTTTGACCACTGGCATATCATCTGATGGCAGGAAAATGAACTTCTCAAAGCTTCCTGCCTTCAAAACATTTGTATCTGACTTGACAGGACTGTTAGGTACGATTAGGTAAGTCCTTACCCTCCTCTCATGGGGAATTCTTTTAGAATTCAAACAGATCATAAGTAGACAATTCAACACACAAACTCAGCTCTTCAATACACGTCTCGCTCTACTTCTTTCTCTCTGGAGTGTCCTAGAGCCAGGGCAATGGCAGCAAAGCTCTCTGATTGGGCAGGACCCCCAGGACGTGTGGCTTGGATCTCCCAGACAGCCCTAAACACCTCTCCAGGGGAGGGTGACATGCCCCCTTAGCAAAGTCAGATTGTAGATTCTCAATACATGTGATAGGGGAATTGTAAAATTAACTCCAGCAAAGAACATATGGCTGTCAGAACTTCAAAGTTATTGGCACATGCTATTATACAATAGTTGAGAGTTTGACGTGTGCCCATCCATTCTACATAATCTTCCAAGACAAGTCCTATGTGCCTAATAAGTAGCTAGAGCCATTCCACAGAGCAAGGGCTGCCACATAGCCCAGAACACCAGGGTTGGTAGCAGTGGCAGAATTCAACCCATGACCTTTATGCTGCTACTGCCTAAAACTGAGTGACTCAGCACCAGAGTGTCCGAGATACCTCCTGGCTTCTTGAGCAATCCCTCCAGTCATGAATCTCAACGTTAGAGCAAAAAGATCAAAGAGGGATTTCCCGAGCCACTGATGTTCATGAAGCCAGAGGTGCAAAGTAGGAACTCCAGCTGAAGGTGCCACCAGTGCTGAGGTGAAGGGCTCTGGCTATGGGGAACTCTGCCTTCCCCTGCACTGGCCATGGCGGCCTCTACTAGGGGCTGTGCTGAAAGGCTGAAGGCTAGAGAGACAAAGCACACTGAGACTTCTCCCAGGGGAAGAAAGCTGCCTGCGGGGGCCCAGGCAACTCTGTTGGCCAAGTTCACCTAGGCTGGGATACACTGTGTGTATTCACTCCAGATTTCAGTCTTGCTCCAGATCTCTTTCACATTCTCCAGCACTAGACTAAGATTTACTACAGCCAGACTCAAAGCAAAAGCCAGGCCCAGTATGGATGCTGGGACGTGGCAGGAAGGCAGAGGCTATCTCTGCAAGGTCTCGGGGGCCACCTGTATAGCTATGTCTTCATCCAGGATCCACCCCTCCCACACCACCATCTCAGGGACTGAGATCATGGAGACAAATCTGCTGATTGCAGCGTGAGGGTCCCTCTCCTCTCTGGATGTAGATAAGCTGAGTGGCCAGAAACTCTGGCTCCAAAGCACTCAGTGTCCCCAGCCTGACACACTGGTAGCCCTTCACCTCTGTCTTGGAGGAGATCTTAGTTTTTCATATTACTTAGCTGTGCAACTCTGGGAAGTTCCTTAATCATACTGGGCTTCTGCCAGCATTCCTGGAAGTGGGAGAGGATTAATAATGAAATTCACTTCTCAAGATAGCTCTGAGGACTCTGGGGGATAAAGTCTGTCAAGTATGTAGCATGATTCCATTGTACTTTGCTCAGACTACATGTTTCATAGTTAGTCATGAGAAGGAAAATGAGGACTTTGCAGGTGAGTAGAGGGTGATCATCTCCCATCCTTGGTGTATGTTTGTGTCTGGGATACCCTGTTCATTCACCAGAGCATATCTTTCTGCTTTTAGGTCCATGGAAAACTACATTTTCCAATTCTTTGGGGATCAGTTTGTGGCTGTATGATTGAGTTTTAGCCAGTAGAAGCAAGAATGTCATTTCCAGGGCATAAGATGTCCAACTTGGTCTGCCGTGCGCTGTGTTCCCTTTGGGTCACGGTGACTTTAGGGGTCGTGTGATAGAGTCAGCATCCACACATGTGAGAGGGGGCTGTGTCTACAGGTGGCTGAATGGGATGCAGGCCCTACTCCAATACTCCAGTCTGAGTGAGCAACAAACTTGTGCACAGATGACCAAGGTCAGAGTTGTCTGTTATTGTAATCATTGTGTCCGACTAATACCATCAGTGTTTGCATCTTAATTTCCTCTTAAGCAGCATATCCAAAAGCAGGCTGCCTCCCGTGTATTGAGGATTCTTTTTTTCACTAGGTATCATGGTACCCCAGATCATGGTACCCTAATTTGACTTTGACCTTCTTCTGCAAAATGCTGTTATCTGTGTTCGAGAGGCTCTACCATAAAAAAGGAGAGGTGAGCTGCATTGCTGGATCCAGGGGCTAGCATGAGCCTCAGCACTGCCTGCTCCTGTCTGGTGACACTGAGCACTATACTGAAAGGCTTTCATTGACCCAGGTGTTTGGCTGAGTAAGGGAACTTGATCCACTTCCACATTACCACTGATGTCCTGGGAGATATATGGAGAGATGACTCAGTGGTTAAGAGCACTGGCTGCTCTTGCAGAAGACCTGGGTTTAGTTCCCAGTTCTTTGATGAAAACACTGTTTCTATAATGGTCTGGTTTATGCCTATGACTGAACCCAGAAAACAGCAGCTCTAGCTACTTCTGCTTCAGATGTGACTGGTTTTATTTTTGGCTTTCAGGATATTACCAAGTTACATGGCTGTTATTGTGGGTTACCTTTAACACTGACTGTTTGATGATGTTACCTTGTTGAGATACCCCCTAATTTGATGTTCTGTGTTTGAACTGGTGCTGTATCTAACCCTTATCCCTCAGAGGCTGTGGATTCCTTCATTCACATCCATGGCTCTTGGTTCTTCCTGAGCAAAGGGCTCAAGGCTACAACTACCAACAGCTTCCCTGGGAGGTGTGATAGGCATTTCAAACAGGTCCCCTGATGAGTTCTCAGTTGGATGCTTCTCCACACACCCTCCCACCACCCCCACTGCCTCTGCTAAAGGCATCACCATTTACATGGCTATTCCCATAGGGTAAAATAAAATAGAATTCTCACAATTTCCCTCTGTTGCTCTCAGTTCTCCCACTCTGGCCCATCAGCACTTTCTATCAGTTCGGTATCTGGTATCTCCCACAGTCTCTGACTTGTCATTGCCCTGATTTAGGCCGCCAGTGTGTCTTTCTCTGTTCACTGAGATCACTTCCCTCTTCATTTCTCTGGTTCCTCTTCAGCTCTGCAAGCATCAGCAAGGTGACACTTTACAGGGAGGACAAGAACCCCCTCAGAGCTGCCCACCTCACTTAGAATAAAATCTAGACAGAGCACCTGTTTGCTTGGGGCAGCAGGCCTGTGCCCTGGGACCTGCTCTGCCTTATCTCCACTCTCTCACTGCCCTCCTGTCTCTGACCAAGCCAGGCTTGCTGTTCCTGTTGGCTCTCTTCACAGTTCTCCCGCCTCCCTGTCTTAGTACTGCTGGCTGAGCCACACATGTATTCATCTTCTATAGTATCCGTGTCTACCCATCCAGTGTAACCCCTAGGATGATAGGGATTTTCTGTTCACTGCCACTTTCTCTAGGCTTAGAATAGTGCCTAGAACATCAAAAGCATTCCAGTAGAGGAATGAAAACATGATGCTCCGAGAAGCATTGTAGGGACAGGAAAGAACATAAGCCTCAACAACTACAGTTCTTATTTTCATCTCTGCTTTTGCTGTGTGACCTTGGGCAAGTTACTGAGCTTCTCTGGGCTTCTGTTTCCCATTGCTAACCGAGGTCATCAAGCTTTTGTCTTAAAGGCAAGATAGTAAATGTTGTGTGGTATACTGTAGACTCTCAGTCACAGCTACTCAACCTCACCCTGACAGTATAAAGCAGTCACTCAGAGCATAATGAATGGGTATGGCTGTATTCAAATAATGCATTATTTAGAAGCATGAAAGCAGGCTGAACTTGGTCTACAGCCAAAGTCACTGCAGATTCACCCCTGAGTGATTTCTGAAGTCCCACATCTCTAATATTTTGGGATCTCTTGCTTAGATTTGGGCATCTGGTTGAAGAAATAGTAACTTCAGAGAGAGGTCATTGGTACCCAATTTCAATTAATACTAGTATTTGCTAAGCAAAAGGCATTGTCTTAGGGAAGATTTTATTTATTTCTTTATTTATATTTATTTTTTTGCCTGAGTGCATTGCCTGTGTGTATGAAAGTGCACCCATGTTGTGCAATGTCCACGGAGCTCAGAAGAGGGCATCGGAGTCCTTGGAGCTGGAATTATGGATGGTTGTTACCTGCCATGTGAGTGCTGAGAACCAAACCCAGGTCCTCTGTAAGAGCAACCAGTGCTCTTAACTGCTGAGCCATTTCTCCAGTCCCCTTAGGGAAGATTATAACTGTCAAATGAGTAAAAGTGAACAAGAGGGAAATTGCCTCAAAGAGTAGGAGCAATATTCCCTGACTGGTTCACACTTGGAGATTGTGGGTGGAGCTGCTTTGGGGTCTGGTTCTCAGATAGGACTCTGTGTCCTCTGCATGTATGCTGTTTCCAATGAGCATAAATACCTGAACAGAAACTCCCTCAATGGTCACTTGCCTCCTTTACCTGAAGTGGCATCCGTTTGAAGATGCCCAAAAGCCTACAGCTTCTCCTTGTCCCCTTCTCCACTCTCTGCTGCTGGGAAAGATGGAAGAGGTCCACCCGAGGCTGGTGACACACAGAAGGGGGTTCCAAAGACACCTTACTGACCTTCAAAGGTGAATCTCTCCAGCCAGAGTTTCAGGCCGAGCAAGTGGCAGTTGCATTTCCATGGGTTGTCCTTAAGAAGTACCAGCTTCAGCCTCGGCATAGACTCCAGAAGAGCCCGTTTCAAGTGTGGAAGGTGATTCTGCTGCACGTTCAACACCGTCAGGTTCTCCCAAGGTTCATCCAGGGATGTGGGGAGGCAGCTTAGGCTGTTAGATGACACATCCAGTTCCCTGAGCCTGGGCAGGGCATGGGCAAGATTGCTTTCCAGGGAAAGCAGGGAGTTCTGGCTTAGGTTTAAAACTTGCAAGTGCCAAAGTCCGTAGAAGGCATTGGAGGCTACATTGGAAAGAGAGTTGTTAGACAGATTTAAAGTGGTGAGTAGTGGTATGGACCTGAATGCCAGAGCAGGAAGCCAATGGATCCGGTTATCTTGTAAGAACAGCGTTAGTGTCCACGGGGGCAGGTCAGAAGGGGTCTCAGCCAGTCCCCGGCCACTGCAGTCCACAGAGTTTGAAGATGGGTGACAGAAGCATTTCTCAGGGCAGCTGCCCACACCCTGGAGCAGGACACTCACACTGGAAAGCAGCAGCAGAGCACCTAGGAGGAACAGAAGTACGTGCAGTAGACGCCGGTGTGAGAGTAGGAGTCAGCGTCAGCCGGGGGACTCACGGGCAGTGTGGCGCTGACCAGGTAATGCCTTGCACCCACCTAGTGAGGCACTCCAGCCCTTCACCTTCTTAGCAAAATTGCCAAGTACAGCCATGTCAATAACTCCAGCTAGCGCTGAGCTTGCATTGTCAGCAGCCTTGGAGAAGAGACTTCCGGTGTGCCTGGTATCAATCCATAGAAGACTGACATCATAGGGAAAGGTGGGGCAGGGGAGTCATTCTGGAAACATGTTCTTTTGTAGGGCACAGTCAAATTATAAGGAATCCGACAGGTAGAAGGGTGAGAGAGGGCCTTATGTTCACATTCTTGGAAGGATTATTCCAGAGGAGGGAAGATCAATAGAGTTTTGTATGGTGATAGAACTATTTGGTACCAGTTCTCCAACAGGGAAGTCACTAGCCACCTGTTGTTGCTGAGCATCCCGAATGTGACTGCTACAACCAGCAGGCGGATTTTCGATTCAGGTTTAGTTTAAATTCATTTAAATTTAAATCAGACTGCTGCTGACTGAACTGAACAGGGCAGGCCCTGCAGATGGATTTTCATTTTACCAGTGTGATCCCATCTCTGATGATCAGCTATGCTTTTTTTTTTTTGTTGGAGTCACTGGGGAAGTTTTGACAGATGCTGGTACCTGGGCCTCTCCCAAAGGTTCTGATTTTATTATTCTGGCTGTGACCTGGATGCCTGAAGAGGCCCCTAGGTGCGGTCTTGGTGTAAGTCACACTAACAATGGCCCATACAACTTAGAACCTTGCAAATGTCATGCTGCAATTAAGTTAGAATATTCTAACTGGAAAACAATTACTGTGAAACTATTTACATTCTCATAGAATTATAAGCTATGCTTTTTTATTTTGAGGATTTAAAACTGACAAACTGACCCAGAACAAAGCATTATAAATAATATAATAAGCCACCAGGTTCCTATGGCAGATGTGCCAGAGACTCACAGGCATCACGTTCCCTTTGCCCCTTCTCTTTTCACTCGGTACAGCCACGCCCGAGGGAAGCAGGTAGGCTTCCTTTGATCAGTGCCCAAGTTCTGCTTTTCCTAACAGGAGTCCCTTCCCCACACTATATCTCCACAGATGAGTTTAAAACGATAATTACTGGGCTGGAGAGATGACTCAGCAGCTAAGAGCACTGACTGCTCTTGCAAAGGACCTGGGTTCGATTCCTGGCACCCACATGGTGGCTAACGACCATCCATAACTCCAGTTCCAGGGGATCTGATGCCCTCTTCTGACCTCTGAGAGCACTGCGTGACACAGGCGTAACTACCTACATGCAAGCAATACACTCATACACATTTTTTAAAAAAGATAATTACTTACTGGGATTACAGGCATGTCTGCATATGCCTAGTGTTTTTAATTAACTCTTTTAAGTTTTGAGAATTTCATGTCTGAGTATTGTCTTTGCATTACTCCCACTCTGTCCCTGCCAACTCCTCCCATGCCCCGACTCCCTCTCAGTTCCTTATCCTCTTCTTTGTTCATTACTGTTCCATACATTTATAAACACACACACACACACACACACACACACACTGCACTGAGTCCCTTTAGTGGTGCTTTAGGGGCACCCCTGTGCAGCCGTGTTAGGACTGTCCGTTTGGGATTAGACAACCTCTCAGGGAGCTCGTCCTTAGAGAAAACGGATTCTCCCTCCCTCAGCCTCCATTGATTGCCTGTAGCTCTTCATCTTGAGGTGGGACACAGTGACATTCCCCCGTCCATCTTGGCATAGTTAGTCAACAGATTTTGTCACTGGGCAGATTTCACTAGACTACAATACTGTCCACACCCAGTGTTTTGTAGTGCTGGGGACCACTCAGGGCTTTGTGCATGCTAGGATAGGCAAGCAGCCTTCCAGCTGAGCTTCATCCTCAGCCTTCTTGATGCATCTGTTCATTCATTCATTCATTCATTCATTCATTCACTCACTTTGAGTTTTTGAGACAGAGTCTCCCTATAGCCACAACTGGTGTGTAACTCCCTGTGTAGTCCAGGCTGGCCTCGATCTTACAGAGCTCTGCCTGCCTTTACCTCTGCTCCCGAGTATTGGGATTAAAGCCATGCACCACCACACCTGGGTTCTTGATGCTTTTAAATAAGTGATATCAGAGTCAAAACTTTCAGGACATTTCCAACTTGTATTGAAATGGGCACAGGGTTTATTAGCTGAATATTATTTTGAGACTATGGAGTTACTGAAAGATTTTAAAGGTACCGTCAAGTACTGTAATTCCTTTCACTGAGTCTACCACCCATCATTTCTAGAGTTGTGGAATATATTGGGGACTTGTTTGGGGTGTGGGTTTGGAGAGAGAATAGTTAACATTCCTTCTTGTTGTTTCTGGGATTGCTAGCATTGATCACTGGCATAGAAACATGTTATACAGAGGTGCATGAAGAGCAATATTTAGTACAACAGCAAATGACCATGTAGCTTGCATTAGGGGGCAGGGATCACCCGCATTGCTTCGTTGATGTGAATCCACCCTCATGGCCTTGCCAATGTGGTGGTTTTGTTTTCACCATTTTACAGGAAGGGAGCAGAGGCATGGAAAGGCTAAATCACATCCCAGAGTTATCACTTACTATTCTGCCAAATACTTGAAGTGGGGGGAGGAGGGGAAGAAGGGAGGGCAGGGGGGAGGGCGGGAGAGAGAGAGAGAGAGAGAGAGAACACTGGGGTGGAGAGTTGCACAATGGTATGCTAGTTTCACCAATTCCACATAACCATCAGCATGTCCTGTATTCTGCTTTCTGTTCTGTTTAGTCAAAACTATGTACCCACATGGATATAATGCAAAGAAATAATAATAATAAAACAAATAATAAAGATGTATGCATAGAAAGCATATGTACTCCTTTTAATTGCTACAGTGTACTCCCTGGTGTAGCCATGGCAAAATTATTGTATCCATTCACCCTTTTCTTAGGTGCATCTCAGCTGCCATGGGTTCCCATCCCTTATCACAAATGTTTCTGCAAAAAACTTCCTTGCCCAATGCTTCATAGCTGTGCAGAAATGTGGGCAAGGGTTCCCCAGAATCAAGGAGGGTTTCATTGTAAGCCTCAGATAATTTAAATGTTCTTCGAGACGGCTAGATCACTCTTCAAAGATGCTTTTTCCCTCCCTTTTTCCCTCTAGAGATTTGAATTTCAAAATATGGCAAACATCTGTCAAGGGCATTTTGTTCCACTGGTAGAGGAATTCACGAGGCCACATGATGATACTGAAGACTGAAAATAGTTATCTACTCATTCTGAAAGCTCTTGAGGAGAAGCTAATGGTTGGTTGGTTGGTTGGTTTGGTTGGTTGGGGCCTCAGTTAGGGAAAAATACAATGTGGTGGTCAGATGCAGTATACCTTGATTTCTCTGTTCTTCATCTTGGCTTCTGGCTTATAGTGCCCCAGCCCTGGAGGGCAGACAAGTTAGGAGCTTTGGAAAGAGATGCTGCTTGCTTTGATTTAGTTCAAGAGACATGCCTTCCCAAAACATAGACTACAGCCCTTCTTTTTCCTTTCTATGATTTTTCAAATATCTAAATGACTCCTTTCAAAGCTCAAATGTCTTCCCATTAGAAATGACCCAACACCCTCCTTGTGGCCTGGGTCTCAAGGATTAATTAGCTGCAGGAAATCAATTTGCAAATCACAGGGTATGTTTCTCACCCCCATCCACTCATCTGTTAATGAAGGGATGTATTCCTGAGATGGAATTCAATTCCTTCATCCTTTCTCCCCCTCCCCAAAACTTTCCCAGAGGGAATAATATATGAACTCCAACTCTAGGCATCATGTTGTCTATGAAATGGCCCGTGACATACCAACTGCATGTCCACACCATGGCTGCACACATTTGTCTCCAGCCCCTTTCCCCTGCGCCTGGTGTGCTGAAAACATCCATCTTCCCATTGAGAGGTATTTTTACATCTGTCCAATCTTTTAAGAAAGACAGCTTGAAAATTGATTTCTCACAGACACTTCCCTGAGGAATACCCCTCCCTCACTCTGTGGGTGATTCTGGGGGTGGGAAAATGGAATTCATTCCAGCTCACCTTTCATGGTTCCCTCTTCAAGTTGAGCACCCTCATCAAACACGTAGCCCACTGTGTGTGTTCACAGATCAACACACCGAGGCCATGGCAAACTTGGAAGCTAGCTTTCCGTTTACTTTTCTCGAATCCAGTGTGGGCTTTTCACTGAGTCAGAAGAGGCAGAAAACAGTTGTTGCTTTCAGTAGACCACATATTTAAGCAGCCTGTTCCCTTGTCTCCATCTGCTGTGGTCCGTTTTCATAAGAGGATCTTTTGATTGTGTTCTGTCTCCTTTCTCAAAGTGTCGGCCTCCCTGGGATCTTCCCTGCCTCTCCCATTCAGACAGCAAGCCACATAAAGAATGTTTGTCAGCCCTCGGTGAACAGCTGTAGCATTCAAACATGACCCCAATGGCCCGGCCTTTTTGATTATTTAATCTGCTTGAAGTCCAGGGCACCAAAATAAAACAGCCTTCTTAATCCGGCTGTGGCTTCTGCATTCTGTTGACTTATTAACCATGCTGTGTTAACTCTCGCTGGGTGTTTGTGAGGAGGGGGGCACTGACACAGATCCCCAGTCTTGGGGTCTAGCAACAGAGCCAGTAGAATGTGTAATAGGAGGACAAATTGGCCTGCTGGAGGCTGACACTGTCTTCATAGTGTATTTCTCCGGCCATGGAGGGTGCCCTCAGCCTACATCCTTAGAGATTAGCTGTGTTGACAGATCTCCATGCCCTGAAATTCATAGCCATGGTTCCCTCAGTGGACATTGTAATCCCTTCTCCTCAGTGTACAAGTACATTTCGGGCTGCTTGCTTGCCCACTCCACGCCCCCCAGTTGAACTGACCTTCTGGCCAGCATGAAATATTTCTGTCTTTCAGCGTTTCTCCAGTGTTGTGGTTCAGACCCTTTCCTCCTTGTTTTCAGATAGAAAACAGTAAAACTCCTTCTGTGAACATTGGGCACCATGAACTTGACTGTTCACAAACAGAAAGTGCTAAGACTTCCCCAGTGGGGACTGGAACGAAGTCCCAGTGTACAAATCCCTATCATTGGCCGAGGTGGGGTTTTAAGGCCCAAAGTGACCCTTCTTCAGCACTCTGGAATGTTCCACAGGCTTTCCACGGCTGCTCAGGTGAAAACCTCACTTTTTATTGAGGTGACATAAAGTGAACGCTGACCTCAAGAATCAAGAAGTATGATTGAACAATTGACTGTGGTCTCAGGAGTCAGAGAGGTCTGGATTGGAGTTACCCTCCCAGAGGCCTAGCTCACAAGAGGGTAATGGAAGTCCTTTTTCTTTTTTTTGAGATTGAGCCAAAGATTAAATCAAGCTACTTGTCATGGCCAGAGTCTCTTCATGAAGACACAATGATCCATGAGAAGGCTTCCAGGGCTTCTGAGCAGCTAACATCGGAAGACCACCAGGGAGAAGACTGTTCTCTCATGCCACTGTGGGCTACTGAGGACGGAAGGAATCCCTCATGCATAGGATTCCTTCCTCATCTTCCTCCTCTTCCTCCTGCTCCTCTTCTTCTTGTCTTCTAGAGACAGGGTCTCCCCATGGTCCCAGCTGTCCTGGAACTCACTGTGTAGACCAGGCTGGCCTTGATCTCATAGAAATCCACCTGTCTCTGCCTCCCAAGTGCTGGGATTAAAAGTGTGCGCCAACACGCCTGGCTGATTCTTCTAAATAGCCTGTACATTGGTGACATTTTTCTCCTTTGAACAACCCCCTTTCCACATCACCAAATCTAATATACTTACCCTGCCATTTCTGGAATGTCCACGTCATCCAGCCTGCCTCTTCCTGCCCATCTCTTCTGCACTTTTTGCACCACAGTTGTGGTCCACTTAGGATGAGCCATTTCAATTTTAGTGAAAATTAAACGGTTCCTCTTTCTCCTTTCCTTCCTTTCCTCCTTTCTTCCAGAATAGCTGTTTTCAAGTGTATACAATGTAATAATAATGATTTCTTGATGACACATGCCCACCAGTGGTCCACCTAAACCCTCATTCATCAAAGATGATCATGGTTACATGTGACCTTCACATACCCCCTAACAACTAACACATTACATATCTGCTGTATGCCTCTGTCTTTTCCAGGGATTAGAAGACATTTTTTTGAAAGACAATAGAATACTTTAGATATTGGCCATTCAGTGTCTATGAGACAGTCCAGCTTACAAATCTGCATGGACATACGTACTTATGCGCCAGCACAAGTTCCTTTATGAAAACTGGTCGTCCAGGAATGGCTTGGGCCAAGATCTGTGGTTTGCAAACCCTGTTCTACCCAAACCTTATTGAGTCATGTTGCCATTTCCCCACTATGCCTCCTGCCACTCATCCCCAACTCTCACCACCAAGCCTGACATATCTACTATCCTCTTTCCTCATGCTTTAAACAAAAGGATCTGGTAGTCGTTAGGCCCTAGTTATGTCAAAACCTTGTCGTTCTGGTCAGAAGGCATTCGTAAGCTTAAAATGTACTGTGCTTGCACCTTAGTTGGGCTGGAGTAGACTTAGAATGTGTGTGTTGCTTTGAGTCATTGTGGAGCTATTAAATCGTGTCATGCAGGTACCAACTTAAGTCTGGCTCTTGGATTCAGAAGCCTAAAAAGAAACATGGACAGCACAGTTGGCCTTGGGAGGCCAGGACACATACAGGGAACTTGAGAGGATCCAGGACATGTTTAGTTATAATCAGGCTGTGTGGCTAATGGAAGTCTCACCTTCATGCAGCATTTACCCCAGTGCTGGGTGGTCTTGGAGTCTCTGAGCCCAGCTTCCCACTTGTAGAATTCTAGGAGATGGAAGTTCCGTGTGGTAAGTGTATTCCATAGATCTGGTGGAGCTAACAGGAGAGGCATCTCCTGTTCCCAGTGCATGTTCTTAGATCTCCAAGAGACTGAGCTGGCTGTTCTCACTGAAAACACGAATGCCCTGGGAACACAGAGAACCTCAGCAGTGGATGGGTTCCTGGGAGCAGCTGCTTGACGCTTGGGCTCTGTTTGTTCCTGCTGACTCTCACAGGCAACTCAAAGCTGGGCCAGAGCACACATGGCGTGTGGAAGGCTCCAGGACACGTTGAAGGACTTTGGATGCAAAGACTGATTGATTTATTCCATCTGACCTCAGCCAAGAGAACAAAGCGAGGGTGCGTGACCTGCATACTAATGCCTACAGCGACTTTCCCACCCCTTCCTGGGCCAGATCCAAGAGGTGGCAAGACAACGCTGTATGTGAAGGGCAGCCCAGGAGGGATTCCGAAAATCAGTGCAAGGCTAGTCAACTCCCTGGGAATCAGCCTGTGCTGCATGGAACTCTTAAACTGAGAGCTAGTAGAACCTCAGTTTCCCCAGTGGGAATATACTTCCGGTTCACCTCAGAGTACCATTGTACTTACTGTCATAGTGAGCTTTCAAGAATGCCCTACCTTCCAAGACACATTCTTTTCCTCATTTAAAGTCAGAATGTTTCCTAACATAAATTGGTAGAGTTAACATTTCACTTCCTTCCAAAAATAAATCAACAACCATTATTGAGTCTCAAAATTGATGATGTTTGGAAATCCACCATGTAACAATTCTTTCTTCCAGGCAGTATTAGACAGCTATTTAAAAAGACTAAGTTAGAACTAATTATAGCCATCTGGGAGGAGATTTATAATAAATTATTAAGTGAAGTAAAGCAATTTGTAATGGGAATATGTATTGAATAATCCTATTCATGTTGCAAAAAAAAATTTAAAGGTGGAAGAATTATCCTGACCCATGTGTTCAGGTTTGTCTGAGGATGTTCAGGAAGAGCTGGAAAGCTCATTACCCAACTGGCAATGCTGATAATTAGGTGGGGAGAGAAGTAGTTTAAGACAAGAGAAAAATCACTTTCTCTATCTTTCTGTATATACTGAACTCAAAAAAAAAAAAAAAACACGTTTTATGTCTACAATTAAAACTATGAAGGAAAAGAACTGACTTTGGGTAACTAATGAATAGAAGCACATTTTACTTACTAGAAAATTGAGATAGCCTGCCTGCTGGTCGCTAACTGAACTGTGTGTATGTGAAGCCTGCCTAGAGGTGCCTGTATCTGACCTCTAGCTCACTTCCTTTCATACCCCATATGTAGCATTTCTTCTGTACCAAGGGGCTCTGCTCGCATGAGGCCTGAAGACACATCTGAGTCTTTCTTCCAGTTTGCATGTCTACTTCAGTAAACTCTTGGCAAAGTGATCCTCCATCCCTGTCAGTGGGCTTCCATCCAGAGCATGTGCTACAGGGACCTGATGCCTGGGGCACGTAGCCAGGCCCTGGGGCAGGTAGCCAGGCCCTGGGACAGCTGCAGCCCAGGAGAGTGGAGAGGAGGCTCTAGCTCCCCATAGGCAGGTTGCAATTTCATTTGGCTCTGGAGGCAGCTTGGCATTTGAAGGCATGAGAAGAGTGAAACTCTTTCCCTAGAACGTCTGGATGACCAGATAAAACCAGGTGTAAAGTGCACATCAGCTGTGTGAAAAAGTTCAATCTTATTTCCTCCCTTCTCCCTCCCTGCCTTCCTTCCTCCCTCCCTCCCTCCCGCCTCCATCTTTCCTTCCTTCCTCTCTCCCTCCCTTCCTTCCTTCCTTCCTTCCTTCCTTCCTTCCTTCCTTCCTTCCTTCCTTCCTTCCCTTCCTTCCTTCCTCCCTCCCTCCCTCCCTTCCTTCCTTCCTTCCTTCCTTCCTCCCTCTCTCCCTCCTTCCCTCCTTTCCTCCCTCCCTCCCTTCCCCCCTCCCTTCCTTTCCCTCCCTCTCCCCTCTCTCTTTTCCCCCTCTCTCCCTCTCTCCTTCTCCCTCCCTCCCTCCCTCCTCCTTTCTCTGGAGCTCTTTACTATTCAACTCAATGATCCATACAGCAGGAGAACTAGAAATACATTTTTAATGAAAATCCTACTGATCATTTCTTTCTTGCATACAGTGGGTCAGATATTGGTACAGATTCCTGTCAGATAGTCATATTTGTTATTATAACAAACAATCCCCAGGTCTCAGTGGCTTGCTGCAGCAGCAGCTTATATATCATTGCCCTGTCATAGTCT